TTATTTTCTACAGTATTTTTTACTTCCTAAAGATTTTGCACATGATTTTTCAAAACACTCCTAATTTTATAAAAATATTTTTGTAAGTACCCTTTTTTGATTAGTAGGACTTTAGTTTCCATTTTTTATAGAAGACTGGGTATACCGCTGCTTTCTATTCACGCCATTTAACAACAATTCATCGGTAATATCAGAGGCCAACTGATTCTTTTGTGTTAGTCATTTTTAATATTCAATTGCAAAGGAATTCGGTTCACCACAGACACTTCCTCATCACCACGAGCTAAGGTAGGATCCTTTCGCTAAGTTGATTGTTATATGAATTTAAGTTTCATTCATACATGTTATTCATTATGTTTGATCATGGAGTATGTGAAGTGCCTTTAATGGTTTTTCTTAAATGTCAATGTCATGGAAATTATATATTTAACTGATGGTCGTAGAGACTCATTAGAACTTTAAGAGATTATATGTTTAATTGATGGTCGCAAATGCTCATCAGAACTTTAAGTAGATCGTTTGATCATGAATTTGCTTATTTATGAAGACAATATGTAAGGATACATGATGATGATGATTATTATTATTATTATTATTGTTATTATTATTATTATTATTATTATTATTATGTTCATACAACGTGCGTAGCCTACTGAGTGTTTCTTTGAGATGCTCACACCTATTTAAACTTTTCAGCGTAAACGGAGATCGTGCGGTGGCTTGGCATCAATGACATATGAATTTTTTAGAGAAACTTATTTCTTATATTTTTAGATTGCCATTTTTTTGTTTAATAATCATTGGGGTATCTTAGAAATTGTCGTTTAAATCCATGTTTCGAGACTGAAAATTTTAACATTTGAACATGTGTTTAGTAAATTCCAGCATTTTGCCACTATTTTTTTTTAAATTGTACTATGGTCGGTATATTTGGAATCGTAGCATATTTTTAATTGAAAAATGATCATTTGTGAGTTTTTTATCATATGCAACTGAAAATAGGTTGATTGGAGTCCCGTAAAATTTATTATAGCAATTTAGTAAATTGTGATAGTCTAATTCGGGAAACAAAAACCAACTTGTTCGAAAAATAATTTCCTTCAAAGGTTGTCGTCGAGATCCCAAATTTTTATATGTTGTATTTATATGAGTTTTATACTATTCTGTAAAATTTCATAAATTTTCATCAAGTTTTACTAAGTCAAATATTTTTTGCAAACTCATCGTATAACTGTAGAAAAATGTTTCAGTTTGTAGTTTAAAAAAAAAACTCCTTCCAAATTGTTTTGTTCCGTATTTTTTTATAAGTTTATATGTTTTAAAAAAAATGTTATGATTATATAGTTTGAGTAAATAAATTCTAATTTAGAAACTTTCTTAAATATCGTATTTTTAGATATTAACGCTAAAGAACGCATTCTTGGTAACGCGCGGGGTTATTTGAATTCGGGGGGTTACAATTTGGTATCAGAGTGTCGGTTTACCTTTCTATAGACTTGCAAAACATGAACTTGATTTTCAAAAATTTTAGGAATTGTGAATTAAATAAATTATTTTAGTTACCATCATAATTGCCATTGCCACAAATCGCCGACTATGAGGAAAAGAAAGTTTTAAGAAATTCATGTTATGTTATGATATTTGAAATGTTTATGGGCGATTATATTTATATAAATTACGAGAATTTATGTTTAAGAAGTCAAGTTTGAGAACATACCTAAATTATGAAAGTCCGTTTTAGTCCTCTGAAAAGATATTAGAAACCCACCTATTTGGACTTTATATAATTGATTTGGCACATATGGCACAGACTAAGAGAGCATGTAGGAAGACGTGTTCATTGATGCCTCGTCAATATGAGATCGCCAGTCAGAATGAAGAGTATTAGTGGAATCCAGTGCATGATATAGGCCATCACATTAGGGAGATGTTAGTAAGGTGGAGGGAGGTGATGCAACTAGGCCATATGGTCACTGGTCGTCAGGCCACCCGCCTCCTTATTGATACCTTGCCAGAAGAATAGCTAGAGATGGCCGAATCAATTTACAATTATTTGTGGGAAGTTTCTATTCCCACTTTGCCTCGAGAGATTGGCTATGAGGCCTTTTGCACAAAGTCGACGACACAATAAGAGTAGGCTCGGCTGTGTGTACCTAAGGATGAAGAACTAAGAAATGAGATCATGGCTGAGGCTCATTCCGCTCCTTACGCCGCACACCCAATCTCCACAAAAAAATGTATAGAGACGTACGTAATACCTTTCGGTGGAGGAATATAAAAGGAAGAATAG